GTCATGTTCAAATGAGCGTACCCAACCAAACGAGCCACCCAGCTCTCCTTATCTACGGGGTATGAAGTTTAGATTCGGACGTATCCACGATTACCAACGCTGTCCCACTGGAAAAGGGTTGTTAGCTCCTACGTTTTTGAGAGAGCCCAATTCGACGATGAAAGCGTCCCCTTTTAATTCAAAGCGATCAGATTGATTCAGAAAGTGTCCAATTAAGAAAGGAAAAGGTGCATCTAGATACGAATACTCATAAGATTTCCACGGTACGGTGAATCACTAAAAGCTCACAATTGCTGAGGAGTTGTATTGTCCTTGGTAGTAAGGTTCATAGCGTCCACCAAGGCACTTATGCAAGAACTTTTCGATGAAACCATATTGCGCTAACTTATTGTTGACCTGAATTTCTAATAAGATCAAAACGACAGCGAGTCAGAATATAAACGTTCAAAACAAAAAAAACTACTGTATAAAAGAGATCTAATCTGAATCGGACGAGTTTATTCGCGATAATTGGATGCAATGTATTCCAGTGGGGCTCATTTTATTCAGACGATGGTTTCGATTGGAAGATTCCCGTAGCACTTCTAGCCTACATAGTCGCAATCAGTGCTCAAGACTCTGTGGATGCACCTAGGTTTCACCCAGAGCTCCATGGGGAGGTTGGATCAACTGCCTTGTCGTTATCTCATGGCATCAGAGTAAGAGATTTCGAGATTTTTTTCTCTGCTTCACTTCGACCTGGCGGAATTTCACGTGCAATAGCGTCATTATGCGAAATGGCGTAGTCGTCTAGCATGTCCCACTTCACCGATTCGACAGTATTTGATTAGAGCGCCTCGCCCAAGTGACAACAAGTGAGCCCAGCCTACTTGAGCAAGATCCATCTTTATCGTACCGTTTTGCCATCGCTTTACAGGAGCTGACACTGAACGCTTACAATTAGTATATTCTCTCGCCACACTTCTCTGCACCTCTTCTCTACACTCTGTCCTCTCTGCGCCGCGTTAGTAGTATGCTCAGAGCCAACACGATACTCATGATGGTTTCCACGGCTTGAAACGCTTCCTTCTTCACTGATATCTCACTTTCTACATGCTCCAACGATTATTCGTTACATCGTGCGGACGGGAATCACGTAACCTGTCTTCAAAGGAGCCTTTGCATCCTATGAGAGATTCCTTATGCATCTGTGGTTCACTTATTAGTTGTACCTGAACACATACCGGCGTTGGTAACCCGGAGCTGGGAAGTGTGGGTACACTTGGAGGGTCGGCACACTTGTAAGAGCTCGTTAGCATGAAATCCCGTAAACTGTGCATGTGGATGCGAAAAACCTTTTCAAGTCCCTGTAAGCCTTGTCATCCCCTGTAAAGCGCTCTGTAAACACCTGTCAACTTTGTAAAATCAAATCGCGTCATGGCGTTCAGCAGCGGTCAGACTTCGCGACGGCTCCGCTTCGGCCGCGCGTTCGGGCGATCGATCGCGTCGCTAGTGTAGCGACCGTTTGTGTAGCGCGACTGATTCGATCGCGCTCCAATGCAAAAATCAACTGGACGGATGCTAATTTACAGCCATTTTCGGTTACTTTTTGCTTCTTTCTCCTCCCGCTTGCTTCTCGCTTGTTTCTTCCTCCTCCTGGCACTATTATTTCTAATCTGTTTCTAATGTTTGTCAGTTATTATGCTTTTTACCTTTGACATAGTGAAATTTTCAGATGCATTGAAATTTTTTGGATGGACGGCCGTTCTGCGCGCAACTTTCTTGTTTTCAAGGTGGGTTTTTCAGGTTCCCTGCAGTTTTGGTTATCTTTTTGATTCTCATGAATCATACTAACCTTCACCTGACCCCTTCACCTTCATAACCTTCACCTGTACGGTAAGTGGTTTCTCTTTGCACCTATTTTCTAATTGTGTTGTGTCTTGGTTATGATTAAGTTTACTATGTTCTCTTCAACATGCTCAAGGTGCAAGGAGAAACTACTCACCGCACGATGAAGATCTACTGAAATGCTGAGCTAAAGACCAAGCTAAACACAATATGATTGATGAGAATCAAAAAGATAACCAAAACTGCAGGGAACCTGAAAAACCCACCTCGAAAACAAGAAAGTTGCGCGCAGAACGGCCGTCCATCCAAAAAATTTCAATGCATCTGAAAATTTTCACTATGTCAAAGGTAAAAAGCATAATAACTGACAAACATTAGAAACAGATTAGAAATAATAGTGCCAGGAGGAGGAAGAAACAAGCGAGAAGCAAGCGGGAGGAGAAAGAAGCAAAAAGTAACCGAAAATGGCTGTAAATTAGCATCCGTCCAGTTGATTTTTGCATTGGAGCGCGATCGAATCAGTCGCGCTACACAACCGTTGCTACCACTAGCGATGTGATCGATCGCCCGAGCGCGCAGCCGAAGCGGCTCCGCCGCGAAGTCTGAACGCTGCCTTCCAGTGACGCTAGTAGCCTTTTGCCAAGTAGTTTACAACAGGGCACATCGTTGTTGGGGAATCCCCAATAGGGGGGGGGGTCGCGGACAGGCAGGCGGCGATGGGAGGTCGTATTAGCGCCGCCAGGAGAGATTTTAGGCCGCCCAGTGAGAAGAACTTATTTTGATTGTTTTGCGCTTTTCTCGTTGTGAAGGGGGGAGGTGCCGGTACTTGGTCGTTCTTTGGGCCGGGAGGGAGGTGGTACGTATCTATCGTCTTGGCGTCTGTTCACGATTAGCTGTGAGTTTGGCTTTTTTGTTCTTTTTGGTCTCTCATGCGAACTATACTGCACGCACCCCCCGCCTCCCCACTCTGACAGCAAAATTTTGCCGGCTAAAAGATAGGCGGGGAACGATTTCGGCGGAAATTTTTGGAAAAAAGAGCTGTCGAAGTTAGGAGAAAATCTGGGAATTGCCTAGCAAAGGGGGGGGGTCGATATTTGTCTCGCGCCGAAAACCCCCCCCCTTTCCCCCGCTCCACGGCTCATTCGATGAGGAGACAGAGGGCTGGGGGGTCGTACCAACTCCCAAAAAAAGGGGTGGGGGTTGTACAGACTCGACTAAAATGCCCAACCAATGATGTGCCCTGGTTTACAGGGCACTTGACAGGAATGCACACAGCTATAAATGCCCACAAACCTTTTGAACGCCGTGTCCTTCATCGGGATAGAGCACATAGGTCACAGAAATGTTGTTCTTTCGTAGTACGTTCCACGAACTGATCTGAATATCTGGATCTCAAATATGAGCGAAGGAATTTCTAAGCTGCATCTATACGACAGCAAACAACTCTGGAGGGAACTCACCAGATTCTCGTTGATTCACGCGAGGATCGTTGGCTCCTTGGATAATCAGCAGGGGCTTCTTCACGCGATCAGCTAAAAACAGCGGCGAACGGGCGATGAGCGATTGACGGCCGGCCTCACTGAGATCAATAAACCCACATTCATCGAATACTGAAGAGAGTATGATGCCTACATAAACGTTCCCAAAAACGACTCACTCATTGGCATCGCCTCCCAACATTCTAGCCATCTTTTTGCGTATTCCGTGCCAGTATGGTGGGACCGTCTCTAACAAAGTGACCAAGTTCGACGGACCAACAATGTCCACACCACAGGCAAACTCTTCCGGAGTGAAGGTGAGCGCGACCAGTGTTTCATAGCCACCATAACTTCCACCTACAGAAAATTTTTACACTTTGAGCTGTTCTCCCTGACTCCTTTCTGATTCATATAGTTCCACCCATACCGGAAGCCGAAGAGAGGCATTCCGGTAACGATCGACTACACTCTCTTATCCATGCATATGTGCCTCTGTTTTAATCATCGCGTACGTAATAACATCTGAAGGCCTCTTTGCAGTCTTGGATAGAAAATGTAAGTGTCATGGTTCTACCTGAGCCAAAAATGAATTGACTTCCAGAAAGACTGGCTGACGGAGAAGACCGTTGCAGCAAGCACTTTGACAGAAAGCAGTATCAAAGGTGCTTAACCAAAGGTCACTACGCAATGCCGCGCACATTTGCTCGTGTGGCGCTCGCTGCAAATCAGTCGAGAGTTGAACTCTTTATCCTTCCTCTCTCTCATACAGCTCCATACTCTCCTCTTTTACCACTTCTCACTCTCACCAAGCGCCTCGGAAATTGACGGCCTAAGCATGTGCTTCGTCGCTTCCTCTTCGTACCCCTAACAACTTGGAGATGGAAAACGGTGAGCACTCTCCACAATACGAAGCAAAAGGCTTACTAGGTTCTGAATCTTCTTCTTCTCTCTGGCCTCCCTCATGTTCCGCTCGGGGTCTGCTATGAGACGTCGCTACTGCTTTCAATGCAGCGCATCTAACGGGGTGTGCACATATAGTTTGGGATGACCTTATAATTACTTTTTCGCACCTCGGCATACTTGCCAGTGGGATACCCCCAGATTAATTGCTTACGCTGACTGGTGACCTCTCATCAAGTTACTGACTATGAGTTAAGTGAATAAGATAAGTGAAGAGTCATATAGAATGAATTTTCAAATGGGTGAGTATCCCACTGTGTATAATTCGCTAAGTTTATTTGTTGGTGTGTGGATGTGTTTTTTTTTGAGGAAATCCATGAATTCCTTTGATTCAGCCGGAGA